ATATTGAGTCATATTGGTGTAAGAGAAAATGTTTTTGGGCTGCAGACAAATTTTGAAAAGTATGAAATGTTCTTAAAAACCAGATGAAATGTAGACCATGAAGTCCATAAATTGCTCTGTATTATCCTGTACAATTACTTTGTTTAAAGGCATTTTAATTTTATTTCTTATTTTTATTTACATTTATTTTACATTATATTTTATTTAATACAAATTAGGTCTTGATAATAAACATTCAGCTTTTGTTCCTCCGGTTTTGCGGATGCATTCTGATTTATATCACGGAAAACACCTATATAAAAATTCAGTCTAAGTTTCTTTAATTTTTGTAAAACAATATTAGTTTTGTAAAGTGTTGCTTTAGCATTTAAGTAAATGTAAATTACATTTACATTTACGTGTGTAATGGTTGTTTCAGTGCCTGTTAATTGATGAATAAAAGTTGATTGACGAATATGCTCCAAGTTTAGTTTATTAATGTTCTTAAATTCGACTCTCCCGTGTGTTCATCCGCCATTCTACGGTAACTGACCTTCTCTTAGAGCCGAAAAACTCACTAGTGTAATGAACAATCAGCGGAAATACCTCAAAATAAAATCCATCCTCATGGTTCGCAGGGTTTTCTGTCTTTTTCTGTGTAGAAAAACATATCCGTTCATGACAGCTGTTTAACATCATCTGCAAAACGTACCAGGGTCTTTCGTTCTTTTTAATTTTTTTTCTCTCCCTATCTCTCCCGCTTTTCAGCAAGTCCACAATGACCCAACCCCACTTTAGTGAAGTAGGCTAGCGCTATCAGCACAGCAGCAGACCGGGGTTCGCATGCCATCCACCCCCTTCATCATAATATCGCAACCATATTATGCGCCTCACTCACGTGACCAAGTGTCTATTAAAAGGCAAACCTTTTTTGAACTGTGAATCATTTATAGACTGTTGTTGGTCCCCTTTGAGGAGGATCACAAAGATGGAAAAGATGGAAGTAGTGTGTCCGAAATTTCCGTCTTATTTTTGAGCCTTTTTTTTAAAACAGAAAAAATAGCGCATCACAGATTAGTCGAAACGTTACAAGGTGATTGGCTGAAGAACGTTGTATGACGGAACATATGATGTTTTGGGGGTAAACATCATATACACAAATACAAAAGTACACCACAAGTATTTGGACCTCTTAACATTAATAGTCTTCTTGTGTGCCAGTGTTAAAGGAAACAAACGCATTCACAACAGAACAATAGCTGGCGTTCTGGTTTATTAAAATAATAATAGAAAATAGCCTAATATTTAACAAATATATGATTTTCCTTGATTTTTTACCCGTCTAGCATTATCTCTTAAAAATACACCATCCCAAAGCTTGCTACCACCTACATACATTAAAATCTAATATATACTGTTGCCGAATAGAACTCGTGTGTGCAAGGTGGCCCTCTCTCGGTGATTACGGTGAATCAGTCAAACAAAACTGAATGGAAGTCCATGTTATCAGCGGACCTACCAAGCATCTGCTCTCTTTGACCTTAGAATTTGCTCGTGTCAACACTGCAATACTGAAAATGATGAATGTGCATATGCAACAGTGTATGTGTTAATACTAGAAGGTACTATTTTAGACATCATAACCTTTAGTTACAAGAGTCATAGGAACTGAAGCTACAATTCTGACATCTTTATAGAGCAGTGATCTATCAAGTCTACCTCAACAAACAAAAGAAAGAAGACCCGTCCCGAAAGGGGCCTTCTCTTTACCACCATTTGTTGCTTGTTTTCCGGCAGCAGAGTGTTTAGGCTGAAAGCATCCAACAGACGTGGTGAAGCCTTGTAGATAATTAATCACCTCAGCAAGGCAGGACCGCTTCTCCCCCTTGCACCAATGCTTTGTTCTCTCAAAAGCCACAACTTGAAGGAGTACAAACTTTTTTCAGATTGAACTGAGCTATTTTATCATTTTATTTCCATATTCATTAAAAAAACCTTAGGACAAATGTAAGCGCTGCTCGCTATTTAAGTGAACAGTGCGAAGGCGATGCATTAAACATTCTTTATTCTGAGTTCCTGTGATGTGCTGTGTGCTTTATCAAGTGTGACTCATGAAAGTCAGGTATTTTAAAAGAGTAAACATGTTTCAAAAACCGCTTTAGTCAGACTTGTTTGTGTTGCTTAGACCTTTTTGTAATAGTAGCCATATTCACCTGCCTGCTATAACTAGAAACAGCCCTGGGGTGTTGCCAGATGCAACGCGAACCTGCCGAAGTCCCTGGGGTCCGTCTGTTTGCTTCTCATACATTTCAGCATGCCTCCTAAACTTCCCACTGACCCAAGCACAAAGTTCATTAAGAACGCTTTTAGAAAGTATTCGGGATCAGCACAGTGCATGGGGGTGCAAATAATCCCCGTCTTTTTATATAATTTTGATAACATCACTTATTTTTTACATGTAATTAATTATCATGAAATCAGTAAATGCAGACCAGCATAAACGGTCAGCCATTTAGTTTAATTTCTTAACAAAGTGGTCTGCTGCTTTTCAAAAAAGCCAACAGACAGGGCTGTATTTTCACTCTAAATGGTTCGTGGAGTCTAGCCAGGGGACAGAACAAATCTGTTCTCAATGTTGACATTTGGAGCCCTCGAAGCAAACTAAGATTACTACAACACGCAGACGAAGATAATTTTCCCCCTTTGGATTTACCGTGGTCAGCATCAAAGCTAAATACATCTCAACGCAGTTTGACGATCATGCCAGTGGAACGGCAATGATCTTTGACTGCCTAGTTCTGCCCATGAGTTCGGAAACGTTTGTTGAACGTGAATTAAATAAAAATAGGAGTTAAAGATCTTATCTTTCTTTGTAGCCTGTGTTTTGATAATGATAGAAACAAGTGATTGACACACATTAAAGGGATTTTGTAGCTTATGAACAGCTATAGCACATTATTATTATTATCATCATCATCATCATCATCATCATTATTATTGTTGTTGTTGTTATTAACGTTTGTATATAAACTGACCATCTACACTTATAAAATCTCTTATAAATCTCTCACTTATAAAATTATTTAGAGAAAATTCACTATTTAACTGTTGGATATAACGGTAGCCTAATGAGAAAACGGGTTTAGTTCACATCAGTACAAACAACATCTGTATATAACCTGCACTTTAAACATGTGCTGCATAGTTTTTCATATAGCCTATAGCATCCAAAAATTTTGATTTCAAAAAGCTTAGATTACTTACTCCAAACCCACTTTTTGAAGACTGACCGGAAAAGGAGCAGCTGGTCGGTTCTGAGAGGTCTCGCTAAGTCGACAGTCAACTGCAAAATGAAAAATCCGACCGAACCTCCCGTGTCTATTTCTAACCAAGAGGTATCTATTATTTAAGAAGGTCATGTGAGCCAGTCAATTAAAATTTAAGCATGGTAGATTGAGAGGTGAGGTGCTGGTGTCATGATGGAAGTTGAAATTTCCTGTCTGTCAAGATCTGATTCATTCAATGATGACGGATCTCGCTGCAGTTTAAGGTTTTTCCCTTTTGAAATCTGAATATTTAAAACACGGTCACCCATACTGATTTCAAATTCCACAAAGTACTAAACAGACCAGACACTCTTTATACGTAAGATCCAAGGCTGTTGTTGTTGTCTCTGCGCAATAACTGCTATTCTTGGTGAAAGTTAAACGCAGGCAAACAAAAATATTAGTGCACTTTAGATCCCTAAATTGGCATCCTTAAATTATCGACCATTGATTACTTCTACCTGTTTAAACAGTCAATTTCAAAGCTTGTGTTTTCTATAATAAATGATTTAGATGCGTTTTAAAGCGAGTTATTGAAGTACAAATAATTTAGCCGATTTGAACATTTAATTAATATTTTATGTCAAATGAATCGTGTAAAGTAAGTTATGCACAAACACAGACTACGGTTTTGGCCTCCCCCTAAATCTTCAAATATAGGCCATATTCAAATTCCACTACTGCCCCATGCGTTCGAGGAATAAATAGACCATGGTCTAGAGGGTGCTGAATATGGCGAGGTCAGAGGTTAAGGGGTCGTACACAGTGCTTCAGTTTGATGATTGGACAGCTCGTTTGTGTCCTCTGCTTGACCCCAATAGTAGTTTACACTAGTAAGTAGCCTACTGTCCGTCTCTAATTTATTTCAATAGACTTCTATGTGGGAAAGCGTTAATGATATTTGTTATTTAAATAGCCTATTTGATTTTGGAAAGGGACTGCACACGAGAAATAGCTACAGTTTGGATTAAATTTAAAATGGACGTCAATTTAACTCTAAGAATAGATTGTCCTGAGGAAAAAAACAAACAAACAAAGAGACTGGGTAGCGCAAACTAGGTCTGTTTGCACTGACATTATTATTTCACGAATGAGTCAAAGTGTTTAATATTAATTTATATGATTTTGTCACAATAGCCTACAACAGTTTGAATATTTAGAAATAAATACTGCATTAAGCCACATATTTCAGCCAGCAAGAATGGAAGCTCAACTATTCGGTACTTTAACACTGTATTGTAATAAAGGTCAGTTTAAAGGAACACTAATATATAATCGCGTTTTAATTGTTTTATCAACAGAGCCAAAAAGATAGCCAAATGGAATAAATAAAAACTAAACGTCACAAGATTGATGGCAAAGTAATTTGGTTTGTAATGTGCACCTTTTTCATAGGCTATGTTAAAATATCTTGAAAATCTAATAAGCAAACCTAAACCGTTGGCCTAAACAATACACATTTCCGAGGCAAGCTTTTAGTCTAATAGCGACTTTTTAAGGTTTTGTTATTCGTTATCAAGATACGTTGGAATAAAACAGTGACATGATTCAGGACACAGCTAAATTACACCGCCTACATTAGTCCTGTCTATGGATTACACTAAATGGATAATGCACAATAAAGTAATTTTTTATTATTTCCACGGGAAGCCTACAATTACTTGCATACAGGCTTACTAAAACAACTTGACATCATTCACCAATATACAAATAAACAAATACACAAATATTCACAGCTTTGATGACGTAAATACACTTAACAATACTCTAAAATATGGGACTAAGACAAATAAGATAACTACTCCAGGAAGATTGTTCCTATACTTGTGCCTTCAAGTTAAAATGTCAATTTGTACACGCGTAACTAGCGCAGATCTTCACAAACAAGACTCGGTATGTCTCGGTTAAAGACAGAAAACGTAACGATCCAATGTCCAAGTTAAAGTACATTCTACTATTGTTCCTTTAAGAGAGAGATAACGAGAGAGAGAAAAAGCGATTTTTACAGGAAGGATGTGATTTCCAGCTCAAATTAGGGTGGAGGAAGAGGTTGGGAAGGCGAGATTAAGTTGCCTCATCGTACACTGAATAAAAAGTAACCCTGTGAAGTTCCGATCCTAATACTGCTATTTGTTCTTCTTTCTTGTTCAGTTCCGTTTGTGCCGATTTGCTTCTAACACTATAGGTTCGAGGGACAAGGCGTTGGAAGCAGTGTTTGCTGCTGCTGAGTGGCGTCCGTTTTCACGTGATGGTTGGAGGGCGCAGAGCTCGAGGAGCGGATCTTTGTGTTAGGCAGCTTGTGGTCTTTCTTCCATTTCATGCGGCGGTTCTGAAACCAGATTTTCACCTGACGCTCAGAAAGACACATAGTGTGCGCTATCTCCACTCGTCGACGTCGAGTCAGATATCGGTTAAAGTGGAACTCTTTCTCAAGCTCAAGAGCCTGCTGGCGCGTGTAGGCGGTGCGAGACCTCTTGAGCACTCCTCCAGAGTAGCTGGCGGTCACTAAACACACAAACACATAACCAAGCAGGTGTTATTGACATTCCAGGTATTGGTGAGATGTCGGATAATTAGTACACTTACTAAACATATTGAACAGTACTAAATGAGTTGAGTAGCCAATGAAACAATGGATATGCGTCGTTCTCCGACTTGATGTAACTAATTTGGTAGCACTGCAACATGGAAAATAACTAAATTAAAAGGCCTGTTTCGTGCTAACTTGGTCAACAATAAACTTTCGTTTGAGTTAAAAGAATCAAACGCAAATGGACCGTGTGGAACATCGAGGGAAATAAAATGTGCGAGAACTCCTAATCACCGGGACTTCATCTCGATGGCAGTAAATCCTCTAAATGAGCAATTCCAACAGGGTATGTTCCCTACATGCCTTACGACGAACGCCCTCCACAGGGCTCCTAGAGCTTTTATTGCCCGTGCATATTACTTACCGGTATTAACATGGACTTTTTTCATCCAGGGATACACCACCAGCTCTTTACCCTTCTGTGCGCCTGGGAGAGCCTCTGACACGAGGCTACAATCCTTGTTCGCAGTTGAACCAACACAGCTCTCTGTGGTGAGGCGGGGTCCATGATTCTGCGGAACGGATTGAGGTTGCGCGTGATGACGGTCGGTGAAATCGTTGAGGCCGTTGGTTGACACGTTACCGTAATCATAGCTCGGCTCTTGGTAGTTTGATCGCGGGTATGATGCCTCCTCGTGATGGGGGAAGCCCGAGTCTTTCGGCCGCTCATAATAATCAGATGACACGGGCATGTATCCATTCTGCTGATATTCCTCGCAGGGTGGGAAAGAAGGTTCGATGTAATTTGAATTGATCAAGTAGGAGCTCATGATCATTAATTTGAAAAGTGCAACAATTCTAATTTTTATCGTGCTGTCGTTTTTCTGATCTCTCCAAAACCCACCTACTCCTCTGTCAAATGTACAAAGTTGGTTGGTCACGTGAGAAATGCGACCAATCAGCGCCTCCTGTGGGCATCGTGTAAACAAGCACCAATAGCAGGCCAGGCATCAGTACAGCAAAAATGTGTTCGAGCGGTCAATGCGTCTGTTTTTGTTATCGAATCAAAATATATCAGAAAATAATTCGATATAGTTACCATATACATCGCATAGAAAACGAAACAGCTGACTGAATGTACAAGATGTAGCAATGTTAAAATGCGTTATATACAACAATTGTGTGCAATAGAGAACGTGATTTATCACAAAAGCATCCCCTTCTAGTGTTAATGCCCTTTCTGATGATAAATATACACAAAATCTCGTTTGTTGTGTACCACGACCCGCAGTTTTGTACCCACCAGGGACTTTCAAATTTCTATAGGTTCCTCGAAAGAACCTTCAAGAAGGCCCACGACCACCTTAACAAAAGCAACTGTATCAGTATACTCAGTGACTAATGCACCTCAGTGACTTAATGAGTAGCACAAAGGCTATTTTCAAGTCAGCAGCCGCATCAACCAATAATTTCACACGTCTTTTGTAACAATTGTAACTAACACAATAAACAGGCTTAGTTTTAGGGGTCCTACCACTGACATCGTCAACGAAATATTAGAAAAGACTATCAGTTAGATTTGCTCAACATTAAAGTGACCCAAGCGTCTGTAGTCAAGAACAACGAAAGGCTGCTACATGAGCCTTTTAGTTGCACACATTTGCATCTTTTGATTTTTATCTTTTTAATTATTATTACTGAAGTAGTAAGAAAAATCCCACATGTCCTCAGCAAAAATACATAAAATAATGTCTTAATAAAGAAACGTGGCATTCCTTATTGTCTCTCAGCAGCTCCATAATGAAATATGTTGGCTTTTAAATTTGATTAACTGTCCAGTTAAACTGAACTGGACATCATGTCACCTTTCATGTTCTGCATGGTGGCTTAGATCCATTGTATTTCGTCTTCTACTCTAACCAAATAAAAGTAGACCAAAACCAACTCAGAATTTTTATTCAGGACATATTAAACTATTATAGTCAGCAGGCAGCCACTAATTGTTGATTGCAGTTGTCTTTTTAGTTTACTGCAATACATAGCAATCTTTATGCAATTATATCAGTATTGATAGGGCTTACATGGTATTGCAATTGATTCAGAATCGTTATAATAAAGACCGCAATGACACGTTTATGATCTTGAAATATCTCAATGAAAACAACCATCTTTTTTTTTTTTTTAAAGTAAAGCCAATACATTTTTTTTCTACTATTTCTCGTTTTCTGTGAAATGCACAACACAGACAGACTCAATTCCATAACTTCCATATTCCTATTGGACTTGTTTTGCAGTGTTTATATGAACACTAAAATATAACTCAGAAGGCCTACCTTGTGTGAGATCGTGATCAAAATATTATCCCTGACCCTGAAGCTTATATTCCAGGTTCCCTGCCCAGATAAACCAAAATAATGACACATCTTTAGCGCGACAGGTAGTTCCCATGTAATGTTTCTTTATCCTTAACATTTCCATGTATTGAATCAACAGCCACCCTGAACTGAAAACTCCTGTTTAAGTATCCACGCGAGCTTCAAGTTGGTATTAACTAAACTATGTGAGTCACATGCGGTTCCAAAGCTTCAGAACCGCTCTGGTTACCTTTCTTTAATAGCTACACAGAGATAACTTCGTTTTGACCTCTCAGTGACTCAATGTCCATTTCGCCTCTTATTAATCTTGTTCATTGACAGTCTTTGTTAAACAACAAGGCGTGCCCTCTGAAAAGGTGACATTTTCATATTTGTTAGACGCAGTGACCTTGCTTTTACCCCGGCCTTGGACTTCGTTTATCCCCTCAGGGAACAGGGTCCTTCTGGAGGTCGGATATATATATATATATATATATATATATGTGTGTGTGTGTGTGTGTGTGTGGGTGTGTGTGTGTCGGCATATATATATCTACTAATAATAATAACTGTTATTAGAATGTTGTTTAATTATTGGATCTCACTTGATAAATTAAAATTGCTAACGAAAAGTCTTTTAACCGTACGGTTTTAACACAAAGCTCTAAGCCAAGGCTCTAGTTTTCTGAGGCCCATATAAAATAATACCATGTCGTCTGTTATTCATTATATACTTCTCTCTCCTTTGTGTACAAAACTGGAGGCCTAAAATTAAACATGCTGCAATGTTTACATATTTAAAACAAGTAAAACTAACAATTCATCACAGGATGTGTGTGTGTGTGTGTGTGTGTGTGTGTGTGTGTGTCGGCATATATATATCTACTAATAATAATAACTGTTATTAGAATGTTGTTTAATTATTGGATCTCACTTGATAAATTAAAATTGCTAACGAAAAGTCTTTTAACCGTACGGTTTTAACACAAAGCTCTAAGCCAAGGCTCTAGTTTTCTGAGGCCCATATAAAATAATACCATGTCGTCTGTTATTCATTATATACTTCTCTCTCCTTTGTGTACAAAACTGGAGGCCTAAAATTAAACATGCTGCAATGTTTACATATTTAAAACAAGTAAAACTAACAATTCATCACAGGATCAGATGAAAGAAAACTCTGATTTTGGATATTTAAAACTCACATCTAAATGTGTTCTTCATGTAATAGTATGGATAAAACATAAATAGGGGAGACCGGGGCTAGCACATTATTATTCCAGTGAATATTACTCAGTGTTTTGAAAGTGATTTGAAGGAGCGAAAATGAGAACGAATAGCTGCCGATAAATTGGCTATAAAGAGGCTTAAACATTAAACCGATTAATTAGTAAACAGTTAAACGCAACACGTAAAATGTAAAAGGTAACATACATTTCTCCAGCAGATTGCATAAAATGACACCACTTAAAACATACGGGGCAACCTGCAAGGACCTGGTTTTTTTTTTTTTTTAAATACCCTTGTTTTTACGCTTAATTTGTGTGTCTTATCGTGTTAAATTGACCCAACTGCTTTTGTAAAATACAATGATATTGCACTTTCATTTGAGGATATGATTTTAAAATAAATGTTATTGTTAATGTTAAATGTTAAATGTTATGTTATTTGGCTGAAACCAACATATAAAATCAAAATTATTTCAAATCGCGAGCATTTCTGTAATTGGACTTTTGACTCAAAATCGTATTACAGAGATTTATTACAGCTTACAACCGTCGTGTTTCCCAGTAACAACTAGCTCCGGTCTCCTATAAAAAAGGAATATGGCCATTTCAAGTCATCGCGTCTTCTGTAAACCCATGAAACGAACTGTCTAAACGAATATACAACCTTGGACAAAATTATTCGTAATGATTCAAATTTTGTGGACACAAATGTGTGTGATTCAGATTTATTTATAATGCCGGTTTTTGTTTAACTTTTCTGTATGGCAAAATTATACTTAAGATTTTTTTTCGGAAAGGTCAGATATTTTCACAAAATGTAGGCCTGTGCATTCTTTAAAAAATTTAAAATGTATATTAAACAGAAATAAACAATTAATCTATCCAATAAAAAGATGCAAATTTGATTATTTATTATTTAAACTATTTGAGGTTTGTAGGCCTATTCGCAAAAGAGAGAGAGAGACAGAGAGAATTTAATAATATATGGATAATATATATATATATATATATATATATATATATATATTTGATACTTAAGAGCTCATTGCTTATAAAGCTTGTACAGAAAAAAACAGAAAAATGTATAAGATATTTAATTTTATAAATGAAAAAAAAAATCTTTTTTTTTTCAGATGGAAAACATATTTTATACAATTTTGCCACACAATGTCAGGCTGTTGTTGAAAATAAGAACTTGTTCTTAAGTGACTTGCCTGGTGTATTTAAGGTTAATTAAAAAAATAAATTAATTAATAAATTAATAAATAAAAGTTGTCCATACAATCACTTGCAGACACTACCGTCCTATTTACCATGCTATTCATCATCAATTTCAAGTTTACCTGCTCCTAAGTATCATATTAAAAATAAATAAAAAAAAACAAACAAATTGATCATTTTACATGCAAGTCAGATTCTTAAGTGGGCACTTCTTGGCCAGACTAAAGCTGCAAAGTGCACCAGACATTATGCTGAAAGTCAAAGCCTGGCTCTGTGAGACTAATGAGCATCTGTCTGCAGGATACTCTCAAAAGTAGGTTTAAATCACTAACACACAATGCAAATGGCTGCTGAAGTACCAGACATGGACTCATTACAGAAAATTACCATCAGCTGATCATCGGCGTCGATGCTTCGCATGTCTAAAACGAGATTTGTCTCAAAGTGATGAGTATTACATAAAATGATTTGTAAGGCAATTCCAAATTATTTTATTACAAACCGTCTCAATACCGTATCGGCCTCGTTTAGTCCTGATTTACCAGTAAATAATGCTAGACAGCATGTTTTCCTTTTATTGTTTTTTTTCTGTTTTCTTCTCTTCTGTTAAAATTAACGAATGTTTAGTTTTCAAGATGCTACAACATGGAAAAAAAACTCTTCAGAACTATGCAAGCAAAGAAATGTTCATCGCGGAAATATTATCAATCCTAAATGCAAATGTCCCGTCGAACTTATGGTCATCAAATGGGATTTATTCAAAGGAAATTCACCAATCAAACCCCTTAATAAAACCTGAATACTCAATCTCTGGCACAGGCGTAGGAGGTAGTCTCTTGGGGATGCTAACCCAGGGTCACCCAGCTTGCAGAGTTCATCGCGAGGTTAGACCAGAACTCACGGGATTCACAGCTATTCCATCTTTTGTGCCATTATAAAAGTGGCACTGCGCTCTACAAGAACAGATGACAGCTACTTGTTCTGCTGTAAACTTTTGACCCCGGCCCTCCCCCCTACCTTTACAATCTCACTCTCTCTCTCTCAGACAAACAAGCACAAATAAACAGATGGACACAAACAAGCCTTCAAGCTCATCAACTTTCTTTCTCCCCTTTTCTCTCTCTTTCATTCTTTTCTATGCTATTGTTGTCCCCATAC